AGCAGGGTCTCTAAGAGATACTTACACATCCATATTCACATCTATTATTCACAGTGGCCAAAAGGTGGAAGCAACGCAAAATGTCCATCGATGGAAGAATGGATAAGCAAAATATGCATACATACAATGGAATATTACTCAGCCTTAAAAAGAAAGGAGGGCCAGCCCCGTGGTTTAGCGGTTAAGTGCGTGCGCTCCACTGCTGGCGGCCCGGGGTTCGGATCCCGGGCGCCCAGCGACGCACCGCTTCTCTGGCCATGCTGAGGCCACGTCCCACATACAGCAACTAGAAGGATGTGCAGCTATGACATACAACTACCTACTGGGACTTTGGGGGAGAAAAAATAAATAAATAAATAATTTAAAAAAAATAAAAATAAAAAGGAAGGAAATTCTGGCACATGCTACAATGTAGATGAACTTGAAGGACATTATGCTAAGTCAAATAAGCCAGTAACAAGAAGACAAATACTCTATGATTCCATTCATATGAGGTACTTAGAATAGTCAGATTCATAGAGACAGAAAGTAGAATGGTGGCTGCCAGGGACTGGAGGGAGTGGGGGAATGGAGAGTTGCTGTTTATTGGGTACAGACTTTCAGTTTTGCAAGATCAAAAAGTTCAGGAGATGGATGATGGTGATGGTTGCTCAACAATGTGAATGTACTTAATGCTACTGAACATAAAAATGGTTAAGATGGTAAATGTTACGTTTATTTTACCACAAAAAAAAAGTTGATAAATACAAAAGACACCACAGTAGAAAAATGGGCAAGTGATTTGAACGGGCACTTCACAAAAGAGGATATCTAAATGTCCAGTAAACACATAAAAATAAGATATGAAAATGTGCTTAATCTCATCGATGATAACGCAAATATAAATTACAGCCACTTCAGATTCCCTCTACACACATCTGAATGGTTAAAATGAAAAGAGTAACATAAGTGCAAGTGAGAATGTGCAGCAACCAGGAGTGTAAAGTAGTAACCACTTTGAAAAATGATTTGGCATTATTATCTATTAAAGCTCAGGGGCCGGCCCCGTGGCTTAGCAGTTAGGTGCGCGCGCTCCGCTGCTGGCGGCCCGGGTTCGGATCCCGAGTGCGCACCGACACACCGCTTCTCCGGCCATGCTGAGGCCGCGTCCCACATACAGCAATTAGAAGGATGTGCAGCTATGACATACAACTATCTACTGGGGCTTTGGGGGAGAAAAAAAATAAAATAAAATAAAATATAAAAAAAAAAGGCTGAACAGTGTGCACCCCATGACCCAGTAATTTCACTCCTAGTTATAGAGCCAACAGAAATGGTGCACACGTAAACTAAAAGACATTTATAAAAATGATCATAACAATATCATTCTTAATAGTCACAAAATGGAAACTCCAGACATCCATCAACAGCAGAATAGATGAAGGACTTGTAGTCATTCCATGGATTAGTAATCAGCAATGAGGAAGGAGCCGCTGCTATAGGAACAATATGGATGACTATCATGACCGTATCACTGAATTAACGAAATCAGACACAGAGAAAAAGAATATGGTGTATGATTACCTCTATATAAAGATCAAAAACTGGCAAAATTAATCTCTGGTGCTAGAAGTCAGGATGGTAGGTACTTCTGAAGAGGATGGAAAGGGCAACGATTAACAGGGGGACACACAGGGAGCTGCTGAGGTGCAGGTGGGCTCTGTTTCTTGAACTGGGTGGTGGCTGCAGGGAATGTTCACTCTGTGGTGATTCACTAAGTTCAACACAGATGCTCTGTGAACTTTTCTGGATGTATGTTATACGTCAACAAAGAGTAAAAACAACTCTGCACTTCCCAATTTGCTGCTCTTTTACACAAAGCTACTTGAAGGTTCTCTGCGATTTTTCCGTATTTCTTTTAACTTCTGTCACACAATTCTGTAAATACATGTGCATTCCCACACATAAACATCACCCATCAACAGTCCAAAAAAATGAAATTGATGAAGGAATAGATTTTTAGCCTACTTTTTAATAACAGATGCAAAACACAAATCATTTAGTATATTCTCGATACAAATAATGAAATACTGCAACCAAAATATCTATGCTTCTCAAGGTAAAGTCCAAGTTTCATAGTCTGCATCTTCATCTCAAAATTTAAGATCAGTTTTAAAATTTTACCTTTCAAGTTTCAGAGATGGATTGCTCCATCATATTGTTAACTAACTTTGACACTGAGGAGGTACGATCACAAATAGTTGTTGAGAGTCATTAATTATTTAGATACATTCTAACTTCAGTAACTGCTTATTAATTCCCGTCTATCAATTTTTAGAAAAAAGTATTCTCAGTACAATGAGAAAGTGTATTACTTCTACCAGGATTAACCATGAAGACCTGAGCAGTGTGTGAAACCTGGAAAGGGCAGGCACGTAGGAGAGCACGGAAAATAATCCTCTCTACTGGCTGTGACAAAGAAGAAGTAAGCATACAAAGGCCCCAAGCCAGATGTGACAGATACTGACAAGAGTGGGAACAATTTCCCCAAAACTCACTATGAATAGCAATAGTGCTTCATTTTATATTTACAAAAGCTCCAATCAGCAGCGAGGTGCTCTGGATCAAAAGGGTCCTTTCCTCTACCTCTCAGCAAGATCTTGCCTCAAATAACATTTGAAGTGAAAGAGGTAAAGACAGACATATCCCCATACCCTGCCACGATAAGTATGAAAATACTGTGCAGTGACAGATACATACATGTGGGTGTCCACGTGAGTGGATGAGCACATGTGCATGGTGTCTAAATGACAAAGAGCCAAATGTTTCATTCATCTGGTTAATCATCACTGCTCCATCACAGTTACAGGAATTCAAGTGGCGAGAGGTGTCTATATGCTAGGGAAGCACAGTGAAATATGAAAACTTAGAAAAATAAAATAACACAAGTTTGTGGGGTCTCCAAACCTTTTTAATTTTTCTGTTCATTTTCACTGTTTTCTTCTTTCCTTCTGTGTCTTCTTACTTCAATTTCTATTGAAGATTTTTCTACTCTAAGACTTTTTTCTTCTCTCAAGTAAAAGCAATTGCTCTAGTCCAGGTAGTGTTCCCAAATAGCTTCGCCTCTTCTATGACCCCACTCCTCACACACATACAGAACTACTTAAACAAACCAGCCAACACAGCAGAACCAAAGCTATGGACAGCTGGCATGGGCTGGCACACAGCAGATATACAGTTCTGCTTCACAATGAGAAAGTACTTACTGTTCAAGACCAAACTACCAGCAACTCTGGATCCAAGCCTCAGAAGATCTGACACATCTGCTCAGTACACACTCCATAGTAAACCTTCAAAGACACTGCCTGCCACTGACGAGGAGGCAACAGAAGGAAGGCAGTAGTGCACATCCAATGCCAACGTTTCAACCTGTTCTTCCAGTCACATAAATAACAGGTCACCCAGTCACACAGGCACTCCACTCCGAAGACAGCCCCAGCAACTGAGTAACCAGTTAGGTCTGAAAATGCCAGCTCTCTTACACAAAAGAGTGGCAGCACTGCCACCAAGGAAATAAGTCAGGGTGTTGATTCAGACTAACAGAAGTAGGGCAAAGGTGTACTCCTGGTATCATCCTCCAGGCCATAGGATGACACAAAGCAGCTCATCAGGACTATAGCAAGGAGAAAATCTGGGAGCATCTCCAAGCCCATGGAGTAAGTCCGGGTTCAGCTGTGACAACCCTGGAATAGAAAAACCAGCATTTCCTGCTAGATCTTTCAACACATATAAGGAAGTCCCTCATCAGCTGTTCCTGTGAGGTGCTTCTTAAAATAATTAAGCCATCATCTATCAAAGCCCTGCATGGACAAAAGGCTTTTGAATGGATCATGTTTCAGGTAGTGCTTGGTTTCTCCCTATCAGAATAGCAAAAACCCTCTCTAGGTTTTCTCCATAGAGTCAAAGTTTCTACCCAAAATACCACATCCTAAAACAAACAAGCAAAGAACAAATGAATTCTGGACTGAGAAAGGGTAGAAGACAACGACTGTGTGAACCTCTGTGCAATGACATCTAAGATTTAACCAGCAGAAAAATGGCCTGGAGCCATCTTATCCCTTGGATGATCCAAACCAACAGACAGTGAGAATACCCACGGGAAGACTGTTATTTTCAGGAGTCAATCTTGGGCTGGAGAAAAGTTTCTAGAGCTAACAAGTAAAAATGCTACTACCTATCACTTACTAAGCGCTTGCTGTGTGCCAGACCCTGTGCTAACCACTTTTACATATTCCCTCATTTCATCCTGACCACAGCCCTATGAAGCCCAGGTCTGTCTGCTCCTGAAGCCCATGATCTAATGAATCGCTATCCTATAACAAGAGCAAAGGCTCTAAAGGAGTGTAAAGAAAACTAGTTACGCTCTCACTAAATCAATATCACCCAATTTTAACTAGGATTAACACTGGATCAGCTGTCAGAAAAAGGGTAACAGTTTATGGTGTGTAAGGGGGTGAGTTAGAATAGAGAGGGGTTTCAGGAATGTTATTGCTGGTCATCCTTTAAGATGGAGTACATATGCTCTTTTCATAAAACCTCCCCAGGCTAGAAACAATATTTTCCTACTCGAAACTGTTTATACTGCTTTCCTGCTCTTCCGGGGAATCTGACTTTTTTGCGTGTATTTTAGTTATTTGTGTATGTGACTCACCTCTAACCATTACTCCACAAGCTCCTTGAAGGCAGACTCTACCTCCAGCTCACACCAGCACAGAGCCTTGCACGAGGCAGGTGCGCAATGATTTGTTTCATGTATAAGTCTACTATTTGGTTTCGTTCATAAAGACAGACCAAGCACACCAATTAAGTCCACCATACCATGAACTCTCTTCAAAGGCTATGTGTTCCCAGCATCAGAAAAGGGTGAACCCTAAATAATGTTTATTTAATATATAAAACATCATATTAAGATTCACTCCTCCTAAAATCCAGCACATATTCAAACATTGCCACGTTAATACCTTTGACAACGATGCTGCTGTTCCTGGTTTTACGAATTTGCCTCCTGTAGATGCTGAAGAGCTGTTCTCAGGTTTAGTTTTTTCTACTGTTTGTGTTTTGCTTATCCCAGACACTTTAGGCACTGAGCCAACACTCCTGCTTGTTTTCTTCATTCTGGGCTACCTCTTCGTGATGCATTTACAAGCAAATCTGTGGAAAGAAATGGCATTATACTGAGAACAAAATTGTAAGAAAGCTCTTTAGAAATTTGTTTTTGAAAAATTTTACCAGGTGATAAATAAAAATGAAAGCAAGATGTTGCTACAGAAAATAAAAATTGAAAAATTCTTGCCAATCAGAACGCACTCTACTGTGCTTCCTTCTTGAGTATTACTAATCTGAAATTATTTTGTGCGTTCTAGTTCAGTCAGTAAAAAGAATATCCTAGATCTCTAACGGAACTGGCTAAACAGAATATACTGTACATTATCTTTAGCATTTAATGAAGCAATAATCATCCTAGCCCTTGAGAATTAGCCATTCTGCAGGTAACTAAGGGTGATTATACTTTCCAAATTATCCAGCATAGTCCTAATTTCAAATATTTGTTGTGATATCTCCACATAAACCAGCAGAATATCCAGAAACTCCAACATTCAGGATCTAAATATATTTCCCAGCATATCTCTTTTATGAAAAGCGGCATCAAAATTCCTTATCAGAACATTAGCCTCAATTTTTGGTTCAGAAAATAAGGGCATTCTATATACCTGTAAGGAATATAACAAGTCTTCCATTTAAGGGGTACATACCTGATTTCACAGCTTAGGGAATAACATCAGCAGCAAACAAAGCTGCAGCCAGTAAAATCCTTAAATACACCTTTATTAACTGAGCTAGAAAAGCAGCCTCTACAGTAATATCACGTTTGGAAAGACACAACAGCCTAGTTTGGGTAGAGTAATACAACTAACAAAACAAAAGCCTATCTTAAATGTAATGAAGTTTATGTATGATGACTCTGAGAAACTATACTGAGCACAAAAAAGAGTTTGGTCTATTTGATGAAGATTTCTACATACTAACAAAAATAAAGAGAAACTTACCAAAATAACCTTTCGGAAAAGAAAAGGTTCATTCCAATAGCGTTAATAAACATTTTACCTAGACTGCCCGAACACTCCAGATTTATCTCGCCTTCACATAATACAAACTGTACCAACAGGTTTGGTGGCATGAGCAGTGAGAAAGGGCACGAAGGGGGCTCTGCTCCACCCTCAAGGCCTTGATAAGGCCTTGGAGCAAACAGAACACTGTTATTAACATCAACTGAAACACAGTGAGACCTCAGAGACTCTTCTCTCTAGCCTTCCCCCAACTTCCTGGTTCTTCCTTATAGAAAATGCTCCATATGGTAATGATCAAATTACCTACCCGCTCTTAACCCTTTTGCTTTCTACTTTCCTATTCCATTTGAGTAATCCGCCCAGAGTAAGCGTTCCTTCTAGTTCACTTCTATCACCTATTTCCTATATTTTCCCAGAGGATACTGAAAATGAACAAGATAGATTCAAATAGCTTCCCATGACAGGTTCAATTTACACTTATGCTGATCCCTGCCAACCAGCAATTCTATGCTTTTCTCACCTATAAAATGAAGAAATTAGAATGGATCCATCCATAACTCAGGGTACTGTAGAAAAATCAAGTTTCTAAGAACCTTTCCTTCAACTTCTCACTTTCCCTTTTTATTTATCCTCTCTTTCCTAAGTCTCATATCAAGTAAACGGCTCCCCAAAGTTTCTCTCTTCTCTTCCTCAAGTTCCATACCTCCACTCCTTTCTACAACACCACTCAGACTCTACACCATTCTCTGCCTACTCCTCCAGCCGCTGTCAAATTAACTTTTTCTAGACTAGCACTATCCAACAGAACCAACAGAACCGAAATGATCAAAATGTTCTATATATATCTATGTTGTCCAATACAGCAGCCCCTAGCCACTTGTGGCTATTCAGCACTTGAAATGTAGCTAGTATAACTGAAGAATTAAATTTTAAACAATTACTGTTTTACCTTTTTATTTATTTTTTTTCCCCCAAAGCCCCAGTAGATAGTTGTATGTCATAGTTGCATATCCTTCTAGTTGCTGTATGTGGGACGCGGCCTCAGCATGGCCAGAGAAGCGGTGCGTCGGTGCGCGCCCGGGATCCGAACCCCGGGCCGCCAGCAGTGGAGCGCGCGCACTTAACCGCTAAGCCACAGGGCCGGCCCATGAATTTTAAATTTTATTTAATTTTAATCTATTTAAAGTTACACGGTAGCTACCATACTGGACAATGTAAGAGACTGTCCCTTTCCTGCTGCTGTCTCTGTCACGGAGTCAAAACCTAATGAACTACCACTTCCCACCCACTGCTATAATCAAAAAGATAGTAACAAATGTTGGAGAGACTGGAGTAACTGGAACCCTCACACGCTGCTGGTAGGAATGTAAAATGGTTCAGCCGCTTTGGAAAACAGTCTGACAGTTCCTCAAATGGTTAAACAGAGAACTACCACATGATCCAGCAATTCCATGCCAAGATATATACTCAAGAGAAACGAAAACATTTGTCCACACAAAAACTTATGTACAAATGTCCATAAGAGCATTATGCATGATAGCCAAAAAATTCTCCCAACAACCTCAAAAAATTCTCCCAATTAAACTGTGACGGGCCGGCCCAGTGGCATAGCAGTTAAGTGCGCACACTCCGCTGTGGCGGCCCAGGGTTCGGATCCAGGGCACGCACTGACGCACCGCTTGTCAAGCCATGCTGTGGCAGCATCCCATATCAAGTGGAGGAAGATGGGCACGGATGTTAGCCCAGGGCCAGTCTTCCTCAGCAAAAAAGAGGAGGATTGCCGACAGATGTTAGCTTAGGGCTAATCTTCCTCACAAAAATAAAAATAAACTATGACAGAATTCACTGTTAACATTTATATTATTTTTGACTTACGAGCATGTATTTGTTACTTATTGGAATATATATTATCATATCTCATTATTACATGCTTTCTGCATACAAAATAACTTGTTTCAATTTCAAATGTCCAGCAATTGATGAATGGATAAACAAAATGTGGTATATCCATCCAATGCATAAAAAGGAATGAAGCCCTGATGCAGGGTACAACATGGATGAACCTTGAAAACATACCACATAAAAGAAGCCAGACACAAAGGACCAGGTATTGTATGATTCCGTTTACACAAATTGTCCAGAATAGGCAAATCCATAAAGATAGAAAGTAGAATAGAGGTTGCCAGGGGCTGGGGGTAAGAGACATGGATACTGACTGCTAATGGATACTGGGTTTCTTTTTGGGGTGAAACATTCTAAAATTAGATTGTGATGACGGTTGCATGACCCTGTGAATATACTAAAAATCACTGAATTTTATACTTTAAATGGGTGAATTGTGTGGCATATGAATTATATCTCAATAAAGCTGTTATTAAAAAAAACAACATAATGAACAACACCAAACAAGGACTTCTGGAAAGTAGATCCCAACACTGTAAAATACCCAGTAAGATAAAGAGGACTGTGGTTTGCAGAGATCTCAGAGGAGACAAGCAGCACAGCCAAAAGCTCTAAAGATGCTGAGATGCAGACTGGTCCAGGGAACTGGCAGCTTGAGATCTCGTGAGATCTCTTAGACCACTGGTTCTCAACCACACTGGACCCCAAACTCCCTTTTCTAACAAATATGTAAACACACTTTTATTACTGAAATTAAATCCAAAGATAACCTATTTTATACATAATTTCTACAAATATCTACATAACGTGGCAACTATAATATAAAAAATAAAAGTAACATAATAAAATAAATACAAATTTCAATATGTAAATGTGCAAGCAAGACTACACTAGGAATAAAGCAGTCAGAAATCCACACCTCTAAGTTAAATCACTGTGAATTTCACAGCCACAAATAGTTTGGACTTGGGCAGTGGTGGTACTGGTAACTCTGATAACATGATATCTAGCATGCATACTATCAATAATGTGATTTTTTAAAAGGGTGAACCACTTTTGGTATGATGGTTAATTTCATAGGTCAACTTGACTGAGCCATGGGGTGTCCAGACATTTGGTCAAACATCATTCTGGGTGTGAGGGTGTTTGTAAATGAGATTAACATTTGAATTCACAGACTCAGTAAAGGAGACTGTTCTCCCTAATGTGGGTAGGCCTCATCCAATTAATTGAAGACCTGAACAGAACAAAAAGGCTAAGATGGAACTCCTCTTGATTGACTACCTGAGTTGGGACATCGGTCTTTTCCTGTCATTGGACTCCAACTGAAAAATCGGCTCTTCGTGAGTCTTGAGCCTGGCAACTTTCAGACTGGAACTTACACTATCAGCTCTCCTGGGTCTTCAGCTTGCCTAACGCAGATCTTGGGACTTCTCAGCCTCCATAATCATGTCAGCCAATTCCTTATAATAAATCTCTTTTTATGTATGTGTGTGTATATATATGTATGTATGTGTGTGTGTGTGTGTATTTATATATCCTGTTGGTTCTGTTTCTCTGGAGAACCTTCACTAATGCACTTGGTAAAGCTGAAAACAAAACAATTTCCATTCACTGTCTACAGTAATTGCATTCCTAGAAAATTCCATATATACCAAAAATATGTTTAAAAAATGCTTTCTTTGTGTAAAATGGAATTACATTCTATGCTCAGTCATAAACAGTGTTTTTTCTATCTACATAAATTATTCAGCAAGATGTTCCAAAGTTGTGCAGATCACAGGAAAAGTTTTCATTCTGCATAAGTGTCACTTCATTGAGTCTAGAAAACCATGGCCCCTACCTCTTTTTTTTTTATTTTATTTATTTTTTCCCCCAAAGCCCAAGTAGATAGTTGTACGTCATAGCTGCACATCCTTCTAGTTGCTGTACGTGGGATGCGGCCTCAGCATGGCCAGAGAAGTGGTGCGTCGGTGCGCGCCCGGGACCCGAACCCGGGCCATCAGCAGCAGAGCGCGCGCACTTAACCACTAAGCCACGGGGCCGGCCCGGCCCCTACCTCTTAAATGCCAATAGCACCCACCAACCACTGAGACAACCAAAAAAGCTCTCACCATTTTCTTTTTTTGTTTGTTTTTTTGTGAGGAAGATCAGCCCTGAGCTAACATCCATGCTAATCCT